AAATATCAAATAACTGCCCAATTAGAAATAATAAAATGTTATGAAAACTTTTAAACAAAAAATAACGAACGTTATCTGTATACAAAAGACAATCTCCTACTGTTTATAATTATAAATATGGATTCATATTTAAAAAAGGCTTTAGAACTTTTTTTCAAAGATCTTTATAAATACTATGGTAAAGTAGAAAGAGCAATTTGTAGAAATAATTAATATTTATTCCTGGATTAAAATATAATTGTCATCTTATCTTACTGATGTCGTTGCGAAGGATATAAAATGCATACCTATAAATCTCCTAGACTATCGTTAAGTAATTAAATATTTTCATTGAATATAGTCTTTTAATCTGTTTTAAATAGATGTTTTATATTTTTTTTTATTTCAGTCGACTTTCAAACATGGCAAGCTGACAGCAATAATTTGCAACTTCTACGACATGAAAAAGCTTTAATATTCTGATATAAAATTCTGAGAAATCGTGATTTTATTAAATCGTGGAGTTTACTTAAATCCCAATTAATCTTAAAAGAACTATAAACGAAACAATATTTAAAAAATCACATTTAGATTTCAAATTCACGTTTTCGTTTTCCTTAAATGAGTTTAACGGTATTTCTAACATATGTTTATATGAAAGAAAGCAAACACAAATATGAAAAAGAATTACAAGACAAAACAGACATTCCAAGGACAAGGGTGTACAATATAAAGATCTTCATATCCAATATATTTGTTAGTGTTACAAAAGGTCATTGTTTTTACTCCGTGAAACATTATCAATCATACCATTCCATGACATAAGTGGACCCTCCTCGTACGGACAGAGGTCCATTACTCACTGAACCACGCCCAGATCCGATTCCCCACTTCGGCCACTTCGACAATAACCTAATGCCGTTTCGAAAGAATATTCTATACAAGCACTATAGAAGAAAAAAATATAAATGAGATGAACATTTCCCTCCCCTGCTATCCTATTACACCCTTAAAACTTAACCACATCGTTACAAAGGAATGAGTCTTGAATAAACAACATTTAATATAGTCATACGGACATGATTTACTTATATTAAATATTAAAAATATATTTTATTTGAATATTTACTCTAAAATAAAAAACTCACTTGCAATGCTTTTTATTCGGATTATTAAAATTAATTTATTATATAGCAAATTTCTGAATAGGACATATTATATGTACTTATAATGAAACAAGGTCTCTCAAAATAACAAGCTAATTTTGTCGTCAGCAGTGTTGTCAGAAAATTAATTGTTATTAGCATTTTTAATTAGAGTCCTTTTATTGAACTGTCTACAGAGACGAGCGGATCGAGCCACTGCCTCCGACGATGTTCTGTTTAATTAAACTTACGACCGGCCTGTCCGCTCTCCATATTTTAATTGATGTAGCGTTTATGATGTATATTCTATTGGACAAAAAACACTTCGAAGACCTGTAAATTCAATGCCATCACTAAATTACATTACGCGAATCCTTACGATTGAAATAAGTGTAAATAGAGGCATTAGGGCCCAGTGTTAGGTGCTTTTTATGGCGGACGAGGCGGATGGTTCCTGGGCGTTATAGCGACTATAAACACTGGCGTTCAGTTGACGTTTTAAGAAAATTCCACCCCTCATAGCTATTAGCCTCCCATGGGGTGCCTGAAGCTTGGAAATTACCAAGATTCATTTAGTGAATAGCCGACTTAAAGACGAGTAAGTGCCTCGTTGGAAAAGATATTACGTGATAAACAAAATTATTATTAATCCAAATAACCTTTGCCAACAATCGTTCACTTGATTGGAACAAAATACGCTTTTTATTATAATATCAATTTTAAATCCTACAAACTCTAAAGCTCTTTAAAATGTAAAAAAAAAGTAATAAAACGCTTAAGTTTAATTTCCAGTCTTGCAAATAAAAAGTACTCAGACGTTTATTCCTCGGTCATTCTCGGTGGTCGACTGACGGTATCTTACTAATCTTAAAGCTCAGACTTAGAGCAAACAGCAATATTTAGTAGTTCGTGACAGTAATCCGGTACAAGCAGTGCTTTCAAGCGCGTCCTCATCATAGATTCCCGAGGGAGCACTAAATATAGGCCACGAAGTTCCCGCCACGGGAATATTGCTTTGTCACTTGGCGACATCGTACTTTCCCGAGCTCAAGTAATTGGAAATACTTGAAATAACTCTACGACAATATATTTAACGTCGCCTTGAACACTTATGTTAAATTAAGAGAAAAATAATTTTATTATTATATACTATAAGATCAAATATAAGTTTTTGCACTAATTATATTTAAGTCCATAAATGCTATTCTTTGGCATTTTTTTTCACGGAAAGGATTTATATTATGTATATATTAAGGACACCGGCACTTTCAATAATACGACGCAAAAGAACTATCGGGCAGAACGGATAATAAATAGAGTCCTCTTGTGTAATAAATTGACTATCTTATTCCAAAGCTTTTGTCAGTTTTATGGCATGGTAGTAAATTAACCCGTATAAAAGCCAGCATGAGTCCTGTGACTCTGCATCAATTGTCGATTTCATAAAATTCTAATATTTTATTATTCCACAATGTAAAGTTCTCCTCAGTCAATTAAAATAAAGTCCCAGCAACAGTTTGGAATCGTGGATCGAATAAAGATCACCAAAAGACATAGAAAAAGAGCTGACTCAAAAAAAAAAACGAGAAATTCGAAAACCCTCTATAGACATTAAACGCAGCTCGAGCAAGAATACAGTTTAATGTTTGCTCCTTCATTACAGTTTCACCCATTGCTTTTGGCACTGTATCTATATTAATTACATAAAATGTTTTATTAATTAAACCGGTACATAATAAAGATTAATTTAGTATATCAAATATATTCAGAAACTGAAATAATGATAAAACAATTCCATTATACGCACGGTACATAACGGCTTGAATTGTAAAACATCAAAGACCATCAAAGTCAAATTAACATTTCATGCAAAAAGATTATTTCATATTTAGTAATGGTATAATTAATATCTGCTTATATGTTACGTACATGCTTGTCGATGCTTGTCCCGTCAAGCACAAAGCCGAGTGTGTGTCTATTAACACAGTACAGGCAAACAAACCCGTGTATATACGTATAAATTAATTAGTATCACTTATATAATGTAATGCAATCATTTTAAATAATCCAATTATAATGAGGGTTTTAATGGTATGACAAAGTAAACTATACCTAATAGGAAAACTTCGACAACTTTATGAATATATATTTAACCGCTGTAACTTTCTGGTATAACAATTCAAATTGAAAATATTTATCACCCTAATAGAGGATATAAGTACGTTTAAATATTAAGTTGGAGCTTTTTGTGTGATAGGATTCTTGAAGTAATAAAATGGTCCTTATAGCCATTCACAACAATTTTATTGGCTCTCAAAACGTATATTTACTAAAGAAATAAAATATATTTACTGTTTGCTTTCACATCGTTTTGCAATATCCTCTAATTCCTTTCTTTTCTTAATCATTTCATCTACTGTATTCTTTAGATAGCATTCATATTTAAAAGAATTATTATAGTGTAAATAAGTTGAGCTGGATATTTGTATTGTCTAGGCCTTTCCTAAAAGCGAATGTTTATTGTAGTTATTATCGTAAAAATACAAATAATCTTGTGTTATTATCTTTGCCAATAAGAGGAGATGGCCTTAAGCTTCAAAATGTTACTATAGTAATACTTTTTAAGGTTTTTATAGAATAAAAATCGCATAAAAGCTCAAAGATAAATAAACACCTGCAATAAATATCAAACAACGCAAAAGACGACTGCATTGTAGTAAATTTTGATCACACGAATAGTTTTACGATCGGGATGTGGTAACGTCGCCATTTTATTGAGTCGTATAGACCCTGTGTGTTTATGCCACATTAAGGAAATTGTATATTGCGGGAAGCTGGTAAGCATTGGCTGATCCAAAGCCTCCTATTGTGAGCGCGAGACAGATACAGGGATGAGAGGCTTAACAGGATTACGTCGGAGGCGGCGGTTGATTATGCGTCTGCTTGATTTACGGCGTCGCGATACGGCTAAGAACCGGCTCGCCTACCTAATAAAGGACTATGCTGAAATCGGGGCCCCGGTAATAGTATTCCCGTAATCAATTCCTAATGTTCAGACACAAGGGAAAAATATATTTAGACCCTTATTTGTCATTTGTAACACTCGGAAAGGGTCGGCAAAGTTGTGCTCGACCTTTGAAAAATTTCGACACAGAGAACCCTTCGTATAAAATGTATGCAGTAAATAGGCATTTAAATGCGGAAAGCAGAAGTGATTAGACCCGGCCCGGAGCCGGTTGACACGTCGTTAAGCCGAAAAAGATTTCTTTTGTTTGACCGGATTTAAATTACCTTATGAGATCAGGTAAGTGACACCGCTTAACCTTTTTCAATGTGTGATAATATGGTCCGTTAGTGTACAGGGAAATTGTTTGAGCGAACATAAATTATATATTTTTTTTATGAACAGTGCAGTTTTAATTAATCTTTTTAATTCAGTTAGTATGTATTTACAGCACATTTAACACGTTTACGGAACAGCGAATTTAATTTGAATTTAACAGTGTTATAAAAGTAGTTTTAAATTCTTTTTAAATATCATAATTGATCGTGTTTTCTAATATAAGTCTTTACGGATATTTTCTTTAAGTAGATTGGTAAAAAAATTACCTAATAGCCGAGTTTCAAGGCTCAATATGAAAACATGAATGAATTTAATTAGGTGTGATCGTTTTCGTACATATGACATTTGTATTATATTTTACCACTGGCGAAAAAACGACAGCTTAACGTCATGGGAAAAAAATTGTCATTCTATAATTTTAAGCTTAACTTTTGAATCATAGCTTATTAAATAAAAAGATTCCACAAAGCCTAACCAAGTTAAAACAAGTTTTAAAAAAGGGTTAGTAGTGGCTGTCAATATAATAGTCTTACCTGAATTAGGCTGGTTGTCTGAATTCGGTCGTGCAGAGGGTGCACCATCTCTCGCCTCAACTTCCAGTGCGTAGGCTCCTTGCTTCTCCCTGTCGAACACCACCTTCGTGAAGATCTCTCCCGTCTGCATACTGATCTCGAAGAAATCCTTGCCCTCGTTCCGCGGGGAATCCACAATGTAATAATACACCTAGCAAGAAAATTAATAATAGTTAGGTCTTAGAACACAGAAATATGTACACAGTAAATATTATTCTACTTGAACGAAGAACAAAGCAACCATTTGGTATGCAGTGTTAACTCCGAAACTCACCTAATATTATATTTTAATGTAAACACATTTATTTAATTAATAAATATTCACTATAATTCAATAAATCACGACAACAAATTTATAGCTACATATAGACATTATAATACATTCACATAAATGTCAAATGTATTATATGCAAATACCACAAAATCCGGGTCGATGAACCAATAACAATCATTATACAGCTTAATTGAGGCGTGAGATACAATTATGTCTAGTACTACGATGCCTTGAATATACTACCAATATTAAGAATCGGCACACAGACTAAATATTTACGCTCGTATGGCCGCCCAGTCTTTGAAATGCAAATAACATGTGCCCGCATAATAGATAATGATTTCAATACACAACTAAAAGTATGGGCGAAATTAATAGAGATTTCACTGGCAGAATATAAATTGACTGCTTATTTTCTTATTCATCATTTTTACGGATTTTAAAGGAAATGGTGATTTACTATTTTGGATGCATAAATTTTATAAAAAACCTCGTTGTACTTCTTTGTTAATGAAATTATTGTACTTTACATACGATAGCTAGGCTGAAATATGTTTAATTGATGCTTCTTTTAGTAAGTATATATGAATTTAAATGTATATATTATACAATAAAATCCACCTCGCAACCCTATTTATAACAATAATAAAAATACTAATTGCTAATAGCTTCAATAACCTAGTGATTAACATTTTCACCGCTGTGAGATTAATTTAAATCCGAAACACTATATAATACTAGGCTTTATTATTAACGTATTAAATGGAGATGTGTTAAAACATTGAAAGTATTATTATTATTATGTATTCATTTTGACGGAAATTGTTATAACTGATCCATAAAACATTTCAACTTCTAATTATCGAACTCCGACAAAATTACAAGTAAAATAAAACTTTAACTAAATAGATGCTATTGACTTTTGATGTTTTAAAATTACTCGAATGTATATAAAGTAGAGAGTTCAGACAAATTGAAATGTTATTGTAAAACTTAGACGTAATATTTAAACTAAACTGGGTTTATTTGAATGCTCTGTCTTTAACCGTCCAGCTGAATGGACATACCTATCATACCTATTGTCAAGAATAAGTAACGGAAAATTGTCTATACTGTGCTCAGTCAATTAGTCATAGATAAACTTTATACATGTCTAACTTCAAATAAACAAAAGAGAGAACCTATACCGCTTTAGGTAGAAGAAATATAACCAAGTATACATATAAAAAATGTGAAAAAAATGTGAACAAATTAATAATAATTTTTTTTCTGATTTTCTGTCTATAGCACTTTGGTTTATTAAACGAAACACCCCTCATTTCAATATTTAGCTCAACGAAAGCACTCTTATATAAAAATAAATGTAAATTTTCTTACGAAGTACAATTTGTATAGAGATTGCCTGAATATTAATTATACGCGTTAATTTTATATTATTTAAATTAGCACGTACATACGTATGTAAAAGAAAAACATCTCATCAGTTAATAAATGCCATGACTATGTTAGTCTACAAAATTAACAAAAGCAATTTCGATAAAACCGAAGCTAATTTAGGATTCGACGCAAAATGAGCTCAATCAACAAACAAGGAATAACAATTACAACACAATCCGAAATCAAAATCATATACAATTTAATGCATTCACGATGCATGAAAATTACCGAGCAACGATTGTATCTATACAGGCATTGTTCGATCTGATTGTCGATACACATTCCATTAATTAAGAGAATGAAGCACTTATACTACTGACATCAAATAATTATACCGCAATCTGATACATTATTAAAAATATTGTAAGCATTCTTTAATTATAATAATTTTCCTAAAAACTTCACAAACGATTTAATTTCTACTTCTGTTTTTTAATGTTTACATTGGACATTTTGGAACACTAATATCGTATATATCAACCCTCCAGTATATCTAAAACTTGATCTTTGAAATTATATACGGTTGTACATATACATAATTACAAAATTGTATGTGAGCACATTTTGAACATATACGATTTACATATAGGTTTAGGTTACAAAGGATCTAGTCATCAGAACTAATTTGCTGTCGCAAATGCAACAAGATATACTAATCTTACCACGATAATGTAGGAATACATAGCAGATGATAATGCACAATAACAATACTTTATTGCTTTGCTTATGAAATTACTCTGCAGTTGTATTAAAAGAACTTGAATAAACTTAAGAGAATATTTCATTCAGTTTACAAAGAATACTCAACTTTGTAATTATAAAGAAACAGTTAATTAAATCAAATACTCGGACTTTGTAACTTAAATAAAAGAAAAAGAAAATTTTATTTATATTATTTAATTAAATAGTAACCTTCAATATCAATCGGCTTAAGCTTAATAATTACTAAGGTGTATCTCAAAAAGGACGTATTTTTAGACACGCTATTTTTAAACTCTCAACATGTTTCTTTTTGAATGTCAATATCTTTCTTCCTTAATGAAGTATCAATTAATGGCTATCCCGTATTTAAAAAATGAAATTCTGAAAATAGTGGATCTAATACAAGCAAACCCAAATAAAATAATAATGTTTTTCAAAATCAACCACAAATACTAATTCAATTCCTAAACTGATCTAAGTTAGAAAAAAAATCTGTACTAAAATTTATACCCATTTTCCTGGCTAACATTTCAGTGCTTCATCGGGGATAAAGTTAATTTATAGTGAGCAAAATAGGTGACGAATACTTGTAAAGGCAATACCGTTACAAAAACCCCCAACGAACTGTGAATAGAAGTCCATCTTAGCTGAACGTAAACCTGACGCTGCAACTATTCCTACGTGTCAGAAAAGTGTTCTCTTGAAAACTGGCTCTTAGGAAGTAAAAGCTTTTTGAGGATATCTAAGGTAGAGAACTCTAAGTGTAGTAAAAGCCTAGTTTATTCCACATATACAATGTACATTTATCGGTAATAAATGTATTTATTATATTATGTATTTTAAGAGAAAATTTTTATATACAGCTTGTTTTTTTATTACAAAATTGATAAAAATTAAGTACCTATCCAATTTTGGTTATGTTAACATTTATCGTTTCAAAAGTAATACATCCCTAGTGATTATAAGGTTAAACAGTACTTAGTATTTTTTGTTAACGATCTTCCATTTGGTCCAATATAATTGAAAAAATGAATTGATTGTATAATATTAGGTCCTAGCAAATGAAATTGACATTTATGGTATTGCAATTTAGCGTTATATTAACTAAATAACTACAAAACCAATTTCTTTCAAAATGCCTTCTATATTTGTGTCTTACATGGCATAATTTCTTTCCACATTACTTATATTATCTAACAATTCGTTTCCCAAAATGGAGGACAACAATTTTTTTAATAATTTGAATCATAGTAATAGCGCAGCGCTGCAAAAAAAGGCACTAATGAATAATATTTTAATGTTCACCTTTCCGATGTAACCATTTTTACCCATAAAATACGTAAAAAGAAATGGAATGGGAATGGTTCCAAATTGTCATCCGGAGACGGAAGTGAGCACTGTAATTCATAGTGACAAAACAAATTTAAAGCAAGTAGTTTATTAATTAGAAAGGCTAAACAAATTCAAGATATCAAAAAATACGCGACGATCCTACCTTACATTGTTACAATAAACGAAATGTTACGACAATCGCAGCACTTGTTATAATGGCCAAATCCAAAAAACTGGCTATATCTTATTAAAAGCAAAAGTTGCCTTAAAAAGCCAAACTTTACAAATCTCTAAAATCTGGTTAAACCATAGTAAAAATGGTTAGACGACTATGTCTAATGATAATATTGCCAACAACTTTGAAAATACTTAATGGAAAATAATTGCTATGGAAATATTTAAAAAGCTAGACAACATACTTCATGTCAAATAGTCTTTTAACTACAGGGACCGCGCGATTGGAATGTCTCCAACATCCACTTACTTCCATGACATCGTTCCAACAAATGACTACTGTTTTCGGAATTAGAAAAATTTCAAAAGAAAATAAAATTAAATTAAAACAGCTTTCAAAGATCCTTTGAAGCTAACTTCCAAATATTTAGGAGGTAGTTTGTAATTGATAATAATGATACATATTTTAAATTGGTTAAATAACTAATTTTATTCCAAAAAGTAGTTATTTCCATTAGCGATACTACATACAGTTTAAGACACTTGATTAAATTTGTAAGGACAAAACTTTTCGTAATATTCGTTGGTCTTTGACAGATTATTTATTAATTTAAAATTACAAAATACCTTTAATACAAATAATAATTTTATTTTCGAAACGACCCTGGACGCAAGAACATCTATCGAGAGGTATTAATCCGTTGAAAACTAATCGAACGCTAATCGTTTCAATCAATAACCTAAAATTGGTTTTATAGCCTTTGCTACAAAATTTCTAAACAGATTTATATTGGAAAACAATTAATTGGACGAAAGGCTTTATAGTATAAAACTGGTCGATATTTAAAAAAATATTTCCAACATTTATGTACTCAAAATAAGGAATATAAAAATGTTCAGCACAAAAATTTGGAATTCTCTTTCTAAAACCGGCTTCAATATCCTGTTACGTTAACCAGATAGCGGATCGAATTATGAGTAATAAAAAATACAGGACAGTTAAAATTCTCTATGACCATCGATTTTACGTATTCTCTATGGCGTACTATTTCATTTTTAAAAATTTACAAAAAAAATACTTTGACGATGTTCCCCATCAATATGGCTGTATATAACCAGAAAATATGTAACTTTCGGGATGTTCCTATGTACGAATAGTAATAAAAAATGGAACCTATAAAAATAATATAGCAGTATGACAGAGAAAAGCTGGTCTTCGTTCTCTCAAGTGATAGCACTTACTTGGTTATTAGGGAACGTGCCATCCTTATCGATGGCGTTGACTTGCGTGACCTTGGTGCCGATGGGTTCTCCTTCAAGAACAGTTTCCTGTTCTCGTTCTGTAAACAGAGGTATCTCGTCGTTTACGTCTTCCAGCATGATGTACACAGTCGCCTCCGACGCCAACTGCTGGGCTCCATTGTTCTATTAAAAAAAACATTCATTTTATGTCATACCATAAGTCAAATACTATGTTTTTGTAGTTATATTCGTCACGTATTAGTTTTTTGTTTTTTGCTTGCTGCTAGGATGAGTTTATTGTCAACTTTACCTCTACTCGAATTGTAAGATTGTATTCCTTAATGCTCTCGTAGTCTAACGGATGGTTGACTTTTATGTCCGCCCAAGTGAAGCCGTTATCGGCTCTCTGTTGCAAGTAAAATGTATGGAATTTGTTCGTCTGAGCCGTGGAGCCGGGCATGAGGCGGTAGAACACAGTTGGATTGTTCTCAATTCCCGAGCTAAAAAACAAGTTACACATTTTCGATTTTGTTTAAACAAATGTATCACTAGGCAACAATTATTATCACATTACAACATTAAATGCGGTAAAGAAACATTTTTATGAATAAAAAAAAATAATTCGAATAGTATTTCAAATAAAAAATTCTACAAAAACTTCATGGCTTTTTTTCTATAACTTTGATAATATATAATTTCATTTTCATTACTTTAAAAATAAATGATAATTTTTCATATCACTACATCTTTTATTTCAAAGTTTCCGCTAAATATAAAACAAGTTAATAAAATTACAACTTTGATGTGATGCATAAAAAATATAAGAAAATAAAAATTATCACTAAGTTTCATTCTAAATGGTTCATATATTGAGATAATACTTATAAAAATATAATTAAAATACCATATTTAGCGAAAACTTCATGATTATTGCTAAACTTTGCCAAATATAACAGTATATTTTTATTAAGTTAAAAGAGAAACAATTTCATTCAACGTACTTGAAAATAAATTTACAATATTTCCAGTTATTTACTTCCTTTCTATTCAAAACCTTGAACAATAGGATGCTTCAAACTGTAATAGAATTGGCAGAATTTAGCAAAAGCTTTATACCTAATAATAAATAAAACATGTCAGTAAGGTGAGTTAGTAAACATTTTCCCATATTCATGTGAGTTTCGAAATGTGTGGTTTAGGACGAACAGAGAACAGAGCTGTGAATAAAATGCCATCAACCGACATTTATAGATGCATTATATTGAAAACAAATATCCTGCTCTTAATTAACGAACGACACAAAAAATTCCTATTCAATACATCTTTTTACTTACCAAAATTGTTACCAAATATTATCGACGGTTAAAATAATAAAATCAACCTTATTTAAATACAATTTTAACATTTTCTCTGTCATAAATATTTATAGATTGGTACTGTGACAAGTACGATGTATTTTATTAAAATTGTAATTTAAGTAACAAAATAATTCTACTCCTTAAAAATATATTAAAAGAATGTAGTCTGGCGTAATCACAGCAAGTAAGAGATAGTTAAGAAAATAATAATTCTGTAGACATTGGAAAATATAAATACATTTTTTTATTATATAATCATAATAAATGACTTGTGAGGAACTTAAATGCTATAAGTGTTTAATAAATAATTAATTACAAATATCCCAATATTACGCCAAATTACGATCAAACAAAATTAAAATGAAAACTCTTTTGTTATAATAAACCTGAACCTATTGTTGTAGTTTTTATAATCCAACAAAAGTTCTTTTAGTTTCAAATCGTAATTTTTTTACTGAATACAAATTTCAAACAATTTTTTTCTAGAACTGTGTCAATAATAAGATAATACTGATGGAACGTTCACAATTCAAGCACTAAATTGATAAAAAAAAATCAGCCTTTTCACATTGGAACAACTCAATCAGAAGGTACTGTATAGTTCAGATATTGACTTCGGACTTTTGAGGTTACTCATTACTTTTAATGTTACTTTTCTTTTCAACGTTCTGCGTGTTTTCAACTTCTATTCTGCATTAAATAAAAATGATTCATCTCAATGATAGCTTGTTGTTAAACAGTTATTAAAGGAATTTTTGGTTAATTGTGCTAATAATTTACAAAAAGAAAAACTTTTAATATTGCAACTAGACTAGTTTTTCTTTGCAAAAAAAGTAAGATCTTTATATTAAAATGATATTTAGGATTGAGTGCAGTCGAGCTAGATTAAGTTGTTACAATGTGTGTGGGCTTCGTCGTCTATTTAGATCTTTATACCATGCTGACATATAATTTTAATATGTAAACCTGGACATACCAGAAATTTCCTTCTTGGACATAGTATATTTGAGAACGACTTACAATGCATAATGCCTACATGCAAAATACGACGACACAGATTATATAGTCCTTATTATTAATATACCTACCATTTACGTCTAGTTGTGTTCAACCAAAAATACATATTTAATATAGAAGATGTCAGAGAAAAATTAAAAATTTAATACATATTTTTGGCTAACATAAATAATTTCCTGCAGACCCATTCCACTTAAGCAGTGATCCCACTAAATGCACGCATGTGATTTTCGTAAAGACCGGGCGTGTTCGTGATAATGCAATTGCAATTCACGGACATTCAACATTACCCAGGTGTAAGGCAAATAATAACGATGGTTGAATACGCCTGGGCGGTTTTAACTCTACCGCACCTGCTTATTTGATGTCAACATTGATAGACAACTTATTACGTAATGTACTAACATATCAAAGACTAAATCTAAGCTGTTGACATCAAATGTCGCAGTGGGAGAGTAGTTCGCCTTAGCGTGCACACTGCGTGCAGGAGGGGGCTGCGTGCGGTGCCCGTGCCGGACAGTTAGACACGCACCTTGCTTTAACGGACACCACTTTGGCACCGACGGGCAAATTCTCTCGAATGTAGATGGGCCCGTACACTGTGTGGTCCCATACGGGGGGATTGTTCGCGCGATCCACTACGTCTATCTGGACCTCCACGGTTCTGGACAAGGGCGGGAAGCCCTTGTCTTGAGCCATAGCCTCCAACTTGTAAGTTTCTCGCTAGTGGGGAAAGAGTCGATGGAAACAGACAAAACCACGTCGTTAGTAGTGTTAGGGAGTGGAGGGGCGGCGGGCTGGTAGCCCGCTGCTCCTTATACCAACCTGGCTTTCACACTGGTCACTACGGTACCCACTGTGACATTCTCTTTGATGTGAACGGGGCCATACGTGGTCATGTCCCAGATGGGGGGCTTATTGTTCCTGTCTACCACGTCTAACTCAACGTCCACGTCTGCGGAGGAGGGCGGGTCCCCTCTGTCGGAGGCGCGCACGCGCAGTCGATACCTGTCCCGCTACAGATACACGGGTCAGAGGTCAGCGGGGACAAACAAAAATAACATAACTCAAATACAAACATATAAATACTCATCGCTAATAAATAAGGAACATAAACAAAATAAATAAATCGAAAATAGACCACATTCATAAACTATACTTGTCGATATCTTGATACTGTTCATTAAATAGAACGTACATTCCTCTCTCAGACATACACTAAGCTAAACTAAAATAATAGAAGGATATATCGATAGTTGTCTAAAATGTTGAGAAATTCACTCACGACGTCCGCTTACACGCAGAGGCATCATTCGTGCTCTAGCTTACAGTACATTGCTCGTTGTAGCCGATGTAAGAGGGTGCAAGAAAAGAAATTGGAAATAATACGTTTTCGGTATTATACATTTCCGATCTGTACATTAGGGAAAAGACAAACTGTACATTATTTATACTCTTTACAATAAATAAACTAAACTAATTTTTAAAAATTAAAAAATAAATTAACAAAAAGCAGGCAAATGCATGCAGCTCTGCATACAAGACATGGCGGAAAGGTCAGGTTGTCATAAGAAGGTTTTGGTGACCTCGTAACGACTACAAAAACGACACTCATTGTAATGAATATATTACAAACGATGGACGTTACGGTATACTACTTGATTTTTTTGAATTTGAGAACGTAGCCCCTTTCACAGAAGGAATAATGTCACAACTGGTCAGATGGCCAAATTGCCCGTCGGGCAATCTGACCATCTCAGTTATTAACTAATATTATAAAAAATTTAATTATCATATACTGGTACCCTGTAAAAAAATTTATAAAATATTATGATGACCATATTAACAAAATGAGTATATGCAGCATGAGTAGTCGTCTACACTATAACAAAAAATTAGAAGACGGAATCGAACCGCCCAAGGGGAAGTGACTCCGCAAAATAATATCATAGATTAGTAACAAAACATGTACGTACATATAATAATGATAGGTCTGTTCAAAAGCGTAAGCTTCTCAAATCAACCGATTAAATTACAATAAAATAAATTTTAAAACTATTTAGTGCGAAATATACAGAAGTGCTCTGGAAACTGTACATGTTTTAGAACTAAACATAGGTATCGGTGAAATATTTACAGCGGTTCATCGGTCATAGGTATTATACACAGGTCAAATATTTTCAATAAGATAGTTGCAAGACGGTGCTGCGGAAATAAATGTTTAACGAAGTTTGTGCTCCGGCGCTGGCGGCAACTGAAAGTAATCGTGCTGAAGAAGAACAAGCGCCGCTCCGCCACCTTGATGGACAACTACTCCAGGGCCCGGATTGACCCCCCACAGCAATTTACAGCAGCGATAATTTAGAACTATTTACAGTTAACAAACTTAAAGTATGTGCCAATTGAATCCTAAGGCCTGTAGGTAGCACTCATCCACCAAACTTTTCAGTTAAGTCGATCTCTTTCACTCATCGATCTTGCTATCACACCAGATGTGGTTCGACCTTAATACTTACGTCCAGAGGCTTCTTTAGGACTATCCATCCAGATTCTGGTTGGATCTCGAAATATTCTATATCAGCCGGGTTATAGGGTGCGCTTAATGTATATACAATGGCACCATTGTTGTCGGCATCCTCATCAGATGCCGACACTCTTAAAATATTCGTGCCTATACTGGCATCTTGTTTAACGTTCTCCACGTATTTCTGTAAGATTTCAGCATTAACTTAATATCCACGATTTCTTATAAGCCGACACTAAATAGTAACTCATGCAAGATCAAAATGCTACCGTACTACATATTTACAACAATACTTACTTGTCTATCAAAGAGTGGTGGATTATCGTTGACATCTGTTATCTCGACGGTAAACGAACAAACGCCCTCCAGTGAGGGTTCGCCTTGATCTGTAGCTTTTACTGTGACAGAAACAAACTTCCCGTCATCTCCTTCTCTGTCGAAGACCTTGTTTGTAGAAACTTCACCAGTTTCTTCATCAACTGTGAACTTGGTGCCTTTCTGATTCGGTTGCTGGACGATAGAATACTTAACCTGACCGTTGACGCCTTTATCTTCGTCCGTCGCGTGCACTTTTATAACAGGACTTCCATTAGGTGCACCTTCCTCGACTTTCGGAAAATATGTTGGACAGTCTTTGAATATAGGTTTGTTGTCATTGACGTCTGTAATAAACACAACCACCACGGCCGTAGAGGTGTGTATAGTGGCGTCTCCGTTAACACAGCATGCACCGTCGTCCATTGCAGTTACATTTAGTTCGTACTTGTCCCTGTCCAGGGATATGGCTTTATTGTGTAGTCGAATAACTCCAGTGATCTCCTCAATGACGAATTGACCTGAGCTTGTGCCACCGCCGACGAAGCCAAATCTGACGTTGTCACCATCTTTGTCTGATGCCACGACGGTTGTAACTAGCGTGTTAGGTCCAGCGTTCTCATCTACATTTGGAGTGTACACTTGCTGTGAAAACTTTGGTTCCTCGTCGTTTTTGTTCTTCGTGTAAACCCTTACAGTGGCGGTACCGGTTTTTGCCGGTTCTCCTTTATCTTTGGCGGTCACAGAAAACTCGTAATAAGCGTTGTTGTTATCAGCATCCAATTGCTTGTTGTTTGTTATAATTCCATTCGAATCGACGCTGAAGTGATCGTCTGAAATTTGAAAAATGAAAATCATTGTAATATTGTATGTAATTGAATCATATTTTTTGGTGATATATAAATGTCTAAGTACTTTGTTATCTGAAATTAGCGTAAGTAAGGTCACTCATTACTATCAAATTAAAAAAAATTAATATGCATCCATAGAAAGGACCTAGCACGTGCTACACATTACGATATTGCTTTTTTGAAGGAAATGTTAAAAATTTATAAGATAATATTTTAAGGGTAAAGTTACGTTTCATAAATATTGTTTCTTTTCTGTGTGGTTTATGAAAAACAATATACGAAGTACATACAAAGAATAACATATTGGAATAATTATCTTTGTGAAGGAAATTTTTCTTAACTTGAATAAGTAAAACTTTTAAAAAAAGAAACAATAGCGAGATCCATACTGGATTTGATATATTTTTAAAATGATTAACTATGAAACAGTTGAAAACTCAATCTGAATTTGAATTTAAGAAACGTGCTGCTTTAATTTAAATCAATTTTTCAATCCATCAAAATTCATCTACGGAGGATCGTTTGTCGGTTTAGTTGTAAATATTTTTACCAGTGCCAATTGGGTATTAAGAAGAAATAGCATTCTATCGTTCTTTTAAGGGTCAGTCAGCTTCACTATTCCTCAACTTATGGCGAATACATAACAGACCTGATACGAGATATTCTATCTCAGCGTTCTTCCCGGAGTCGGCGTCCATGGCTTTGACCTTGAGTATGCTGGTACCAAGTGGTATATCCTCGTCCACGTTATGCGCTTGATAGTCTGGCAGCTCGAACTTCGGTGCATTGTCATTGACATCAGTTACTCGTATCGTTAACTGGAATTGTGAAATAGCAAATTAAAGTTGGCTATATTTATATTTTGTCCTATATCAAATCAATATTGCATATTATTTTAGCTGTCTGTAAACTCATACTTAATTCAATGATGATTTTGGTCTTTTGTATAGAAAAAGTAGTGAAAGCTTTATATGCATGATTATATGTAATTTTCTATACATATTTATTTATAATTTCGTAAATTAATATCTTTGTTATGTATAAGACCATATATATATACATATACATATACATATAAATAATTCAATATAAACAAGAGAATATATTCATTTTACAGGAATATAGTAATAAGTTTAAGTAATAAAATAAGCCTTGGTTGGTTTTTGCATTCAGCGTCAATTAAAAATATGTAAGTAGGTAATAATTAAAGAAAGTGTTTCATAACAACGTTACGTAATACGTTAGAAGCATTTAAAACCTTAAGCCAAGAAAAAGGCATTAAATATAATTGAGAAATCCACATCAATGTTTCACCTCTACTGATGTAGAAAATCCTCCTGAATCTTCGGTAGCTGTCACAACAAGGGAGTAGACATGGGGCTGTCTTAAATCTTCGAAGTCCAATTCTTTCGCTAATTTGACAATTCCTGAAGTCGGTCCGATGTTAAATGTACCCGCTCCTTGACCTTGCGCCTTCAGTGTGTAGCGAATCTCACGATCGGCAAAAGATTTCGCTTTGACAGAAATTATACTGAAATTTAAAATAATCAAAATTAATAAACTAAGAAGAAATACAGATTTTATCAATACTGTTCTTCAAAATTGACGAAATAAATAATATTTCATTTTCATACTTCATTATATTTTACATAAGATAACAAGCGTATTATTTTATCATCACTCATGCTAAAAATACAAAAATCCACATCCGCCTGTCAAATTTTATATAATATGATCATTTGAATAATCAAATGTATTCCAGTTACCATTTAATTCACATCATTCAACAATAGCAATTGTCTGAGTCGCAACATAATTTGCTAATAAAATGGAATACAAAGAGGCATTCCATGTATGCTAAATTAATTTCATCAAACACCAAAAGCTATATGGCATTAATCTGAAATACGTTGAACGGAAAAGTAATTGACAGAATGAAGACTAATTCTATTATATCATCAACTGTGATAGTAATTATATCTAACATTTTCACGTTTTTTCATTTAAATAAAGCTAACGTCGTTGTTTTTTTTATTATTTTTTAGCTACATAATCCCACCGAGAAAATTGACACTCTCATTTCGTCTTACTGTGATCACGATTGCAGTAAGGAGCGAAATCGTCGCGATTATGTAGTTATAAATAATAATAAAAAATATCGGGTAGTATCCGTATAATCTAAGTTTCATTTAAACTGTGGTATTTTCTTCACAGATAAGTTGTTTTTAACAAAAAATTATCTTACTCTGAATCTTTTTTCTGATTTTCAGCGATCTCTGCTTCGTAACTTGGCAAATAAAACTGTGGTGCACGTTTTCCGCCAACAATACTCAGTCTCTCCTCTGGAGTCGATTGGAATCTACGTTCGTCAACACGACCACTCTGAAAATTTACAATTTCGAAACTAAATTACCATCATAAATTTCGATACTTTGTGGGTAGCACAAAGTAGTTAACTGAAAAACAATACTTCACTTTAGTCTCAAATAATAAGAATTCTTTTGATTAAATTTTAACCACATTTAAGGCAACTATTTTAATTATTTTCGAGTTTAAATGGTACAATTATTATGAGTACATAAAATTATATTACCTGATCCTCAGCCTTAACATACAGGACATATTCCATATCTAGCTGGAAGGGATCGGTGCCTCTCGTTCGGACCACACCAGATCTCTCATCAACTTCAAACCGTCCACCTGTCCTGTCTCTCACAATGAAGTAATGGATGTTATGATCGGTATCAGGATCTCTGGCTTGCAGTGTGAATACCGGAGTATTTGGGGCAGCGTTCAATTGGACCACGGTTTGCATTGGCAACGGACGATTGATGAAGTATGGGGGCTCGTCGTTTACATCCTTCACGTGAATAATAACTCGCTGATTGTCCGTATCTAGAAGTTCACAACAAAACATTTGAAAGGAAGGAATAGGTTATTGAAATCTACAATTCTATAAGAATAAATCCCAACGGTGAAATAAGCATTTCATTACATTTAAAGTTATTCACAGAATAAGTCGAGATCATCATTTAAAATGAATTAACAACTAAAAGACCTACTCAAAAAGTAATAGAGGAAGCTATTTTTATATCTCCGATTTCCTATTAAATAGATACTGAATTAAAAATAAAGTTATCCGATCGCGTAATGTATCGGCTCTTGAGAAGAAACTGCTCGTTAAGTAGAATCCAATTATCGATAAAACCATCAGTGAAATACGATGATGAGTCTAATGAACATTGAAACACTTATTACCTTCCAAAAGTACGTATTATAACACGTATTATACTTACATTTTAGTGCCACTGAAGAGGAAAGCGTGAAAACAGAACATGACTTTATTATTTTTTTACAGTTTCAAATTGTTACTAAGCTTAATTCTATATTGGTATAAAATATATAATATGTAGGTCTATAGACACATCAGAGCCTGAGTTTTACTCACAATATTTCGATCATTATCTGAGAATTCTACGAGAAATGTATAAATAGTTCTGATATGTCTTGAGCGCCAACTAACTCTTTTTATTTCAAATATTGAGTATTGAGCGCCAACTAATTCAAATATTGAGTTACGAAAATAAGTATATTTTTTAATCATGTTTTTAATTTTACTGAACATATTGCATATAAAAAACTAAACCACTAATGTAACTGAAACCTTACTTTTAAATTTTATTTAACCGCTGTGGCCGCAAAAATTTGATCGCGTTTAAAATAAAGTGCAAAACGAAAATTCATAATTAAATTCACAAATTTCTTAAACATGAAATAATATACGCTTAGTAACACAAGAAAATATTATTATGAAATGTTTAAAATTAAAAGCAGTATTTTAAAATGTGTATTTGCCACTTTATGTTAAAATATATTATTTAAATTTAATTATTAACTTAAATTTATAAAGATTTTTGAAAATAACCCTTTTAGTGCAAGATTTAATTTCAACAATCTATCTATAAAACATGAAATTAAAAACCCAAAAAGCATTTCATAAATTATAGCTTTTATAAAATCGAAAGCCATATATTTTTTATTTGTGATTATTTTTTAAAATCTTTTCTGTTTGTTACGTAACATAGAAGTCCTCAATTTAAAACTTCTCAAATTTTATAAATACTACTTAATAAGTTAACAGTAATCGACGAATATAAGTTACGAAATAAAGATCATAATAATTGTTTTCAGATATTATAAAAACAATACTTCATACTTGTATCATCTACAGTGTTTGTAATCCAAAAAAAATATGGAAGAATCGTGTTTATTTGTGTCGAGATTCTCATAAGTCAGGAGTCACAAACAAGGATGTTTTTGTCATGTCGTAATATGCGGTGTCCCTCATCCTATGGGATTTACTTATATCCGTAATAAATCCAACGTTTGCTGTAATCCTATCCGCCGGCTTCAGTTTCAGGCTATTTCACACACAACTGAACAAACGAACCCTGTAACGTTTCCTTATCTGTGATGAGTGTAATAAAACCGGTCAAGTGGCTATATTATATTTTTTCAATCGTAGTACATATGCCAATCTCAAAGTATTTCTTCGTTCGTATAAATTGCTAACGTACGGACACATCTGCTAGTAAATAGCCATCATCGCTTATGAAGTGTACTGCTGCAGAAACTCATAAATTTTGATACTGCATATTAATTAGTGTTTAAAACTGATGTATTTTAAATTATCAGTGATTTAATTTAACAGGACGGTATAAAAGAAAGACGAGATTAAAATTAATTTTGCCAGTTTTATTGTAACGGCTAACATATTTGTTACTGATTGACCAAAATACATATATCGTCAGTTAATTATTCGTTTTCATATATTGTATTTGATTATAAAGATGATAAACTTTTTATATACATTTACGTATGTAAAAGAAAATATTTACAACAATTAATAATATGAAATGGTAATTTAGTTTTAATGATATTCTTTTTTATTTGTGACAATAGGTAAAATTGGTTTGGCTTCTACACAAGTTTAAAAATATGACAAAATTTTCCCTATAATCTTTATAAGCACGTAGGACATGATGCCAAATTTGCTATATGTACCAATTTTTATTCGAACGCTCGCACACGTAAGCCAAGTGTTATGTCAAATAATTTAATATAACATTTTTTTTAAAGTGAAAATTATATGACTTAAAAATTTAAATTTATTTTAAGTTTTTCATCACCGGTACAGATATTATTTTAATTTATCTGAAACATGAATATGTAAGCTGGGTTAAACTAGAGCTTTGCGACGTAACAGCAACAAAATGAACAAAGTTATTCATTTAAAATGCAGATTTTAGTACGCCCAAGGCAAATATTTACATCTACTTTAAACGAGTTTAAAAAATATATGTACATTAAATGACAATCACGGTTATCTTTTCAATTTTGTCATAATAATAAATAATCTCATAGTGGCCGAAACTGCTCGTTCTCGTATCTGGCGTTTGGCCAACCACCATTGATAATTCTACATAAAAGGAAATACTATATATAACAATAACAGAAGCGAGATATAGACGAGCAACGCATTTCCAACATTCCTTATGTCGCAAATGTCCATAGGCGATGTGATCAATTTATTCCGGTAGTTTGTTGACAAGACATTATACGAGAAAATTTCTTAAGGATGTAATAATGTATGGAAAAAACTTTTAAATTTAATATTAATAAAACTTTACAAAAATATAAATGACATTATCTAAAACATCTATAAGTATGTTTTAATTTGTATATATATTATGTAAATCTGATTAAAGATAAAAGAAGCTGCACATTATCGAACATAATATGGTCGAAGTTGAAGACAAAATCTAGCATCAAATAAAGTATTTTACAAAACCCTAAACAGATAGAATTCTACATATATCACGATTTTAAACTTATCTAGAAAATAATATCAATTTATATATAATTTTCTTCTATAAAAGTAATATATTAAATTTGAATAAAACAATATCTGCACCACAGAATCGATTATAGACATAAAAGCATAAACAGAGAGTTGGAAACGGCAGGTTTTATTATCGTATCGGAATGTAAGTCTAGAGCTAGTAGGTTCGGGTGGAAACCACCCAGGCTTGCCTCCCTCGTACCTCAGACCAGTGCGCGTGCGTACTATACGGCCGCGTGCTCGCCTCGTGGTTACGACGGCCATGACGAATGAATCTCAACTTTCGTAGAACGAAGCTACACTACGATTTTACGTTATCTTCATTTATCATGTGGTTTTTTAATGAATGAAGTCTGAATGTTATAAATCGGTTTAATGTTCAAGGTTCTCGATATAGAATGTCCAATTGGATATGAATAAAACATCCTATTATAAAATCTTTATCTAGATCTAGGTATATTAATAGCATATAACTATTTTGAGACTCATGTAAAAATCAAGAGAATATAGTGTAATAATTTCAAAGATTTTAATATATAAGAATTATCGATAATCTCTATCGATGGGTTAGTATTATACTTTGAAGTGAACCGTATGAGATGTGAATAACCCAGTTGAATCATATTCAATATGAACGAACTGAATAAAGCGAACTAACTTCCATAACTTGAATCTGTTGTCATGATGTACGGGTGCAGTGTTAACTATGGAAGTCGTTCAAAAGGAATTTATACAAGAACACGCCCCGGAGAGCTTGCGGGGCGTGACAGAAAGCTAATTATAATTCTATTCTAATAAGAATTGGAGAAAATATTCTGTTTAACAAAAAGGAATTGAAAACTTCTAACATCGAATCCAATACTAGAAAAGTGTAATATGGTTTAAAATTAACACGAAGCCTAATTATGATCGTACTCGTTGATTAGCTCTTAATGTATAAACATTTACAATTACATCTATTTGTCATTAAAATAATAGGTATGTCTTATTCTAGATAAAAATATAAAAATTCGTAAATCAAACTACTTGAATAGAAAAGACGATAAAGCAAAACTCTGCGTATATTAAAGTAAATTTAAAGAGATAACCCAAAATTGGCTATTTGATGTATAAGAAAAGTTTTGCAGTTCAGCAAGTAAGTTGCACTTGAGCGGATCCTTCACAATTTCGACTGTAATAAATCCTTGAAATCTGAATACCTGCGAACCTCGGATAAAATATAATTTGTTACCCAATTCAGTAGCATTTTTGAAAGGACATTTATCACATTTGACGCCACGTTTAAACACGCTTGAAATATTCAACCGTATTTACACACCGATTTACCATAAAATTTTTGCCATTATGTTACAAATTATACTTGAGAATTTATATCGGAATGCTTTCATTTGGTATAATTTATTTATTTATAGTCAGATAAAATTAATAAACGTATTAATTTAAAATACAATTTTGCTATAAATATACAATATTTAAAACAATCTTTAACATACAATTTAAATAATATATACATTATACACTTCGTTAAACATTAATGCTAAAGCTTAAACTCATATCTATTCTTGCGAAAATTTAATCTCTTTACTAGCTTACAAGAAAGTAAGCACTTTGAAGGCAACTTTGGCACTGTAAGCCGTCTCTATAATTTAGTCAATACTGCGCTTTAATATATTGAAAATTGTTAGAAATACAAAATGTATTTCTATGAATATCATATCATAAAAATTGGTCCTAGTTACTAGGTGCCAAGCAGCAAATTGAGTTATACATGGAAATAAAAATATATAAAATTCATTCAAATAAATCAAACCCAATATTTATAGCTTCGGAGACATAAATGTAAATAAATTGTCATTGAATACATAAAATGATTGTATATTTTTTCAGATATTCATTAATATCGTTTCATATTCATTTAAAGAGCTGAAACAAATTATTCAAAGAATACATTAGAATAAAGGCAGTTGTTAAATTTTCATACAGCAGGGTCATTAAACAGAATCGATCGACGAAGTTGATGCTAGCTGAGGTTATTTAAAACTACGTCACTATGAACAGTACCGTAAACGACAATAAACCACATACGACACATACAAAAAAATCTATTTTTGATGAGTAATACTAAAATAATTTGACTATGGCAGTTTCTTTATAATTTAACCTCAGAAATTCGACTAACTTTTTTTAAGGAAGCGTGTAAATTTTTCACATTACTAATAATATTGTATAAAGTCAAATGTTAATAAAATTGGCCTGGATTCATAGACACACGCATGTCTATTAATAAATGTGACAAATAGAGTTGGCGGAAATATATAATTTGAATGGATGCGATTCTGTTGATGTACATTTAAATAATGACAGTTAACGCGTCACTATTGTACTTCTATTTAACGATCGACTAGT